CTTACATGCAAGTACTTAGAGATGCATATCTACTACTATAAATCAAGTTTAAGGTGATGGATCATGTTATACCTTCTTAATGTACTAGATCAGAATTTTTGGCCCTTGAAATGCTCCAAGAAACCGTGATTTCCAGCACCCTTTTTGCAGCTCAAAATGATCTCCTAGTGTTAAGCTAAGTGTGGTGCAAGTTTGGTTGAATTTGGAGATGTTTTGGTGGTGGTTTGAGTAAGATTTGTGAAGTAAAATGAAGAACAATGGAGCTTAAGAGAGAGAGAGGGCTGGTCGGCAGTCTTGAGAAGGAAGAGAGAGAGAGTGATCAGATTTTTAAGCTTCCAAGAGAAGATACTAACTTGTGGCCACAAATCACCCATTAGTCAACTCACATTAGGGGGCGTTTGACGCGATTAGGGCTCGATTTCTCGTGCGTTTGGTTCACTAGTGCACTAAACCTCTAATGCATTTATTTTCATGTAAATATTATTCACTCTTAATTGTCCCAAAATAATGGTCTAAAGTCCCTCAATTAAGCGCGCGCGTGAAAACGCGTATTTCCAATTTAGGCGTGATAAAGTGAAACGTTCGAGAAATTCTTATAACGATCGTACCACTAACTATCACTTGAGTACTTAAACCTAAATTTACCTATTTTAAGAACATTGTACATGTCTCCAATTTTCCGAGTTTAATGTACTCTTAATTGGCTAAAATTTCTCAAACACGTTTTCACTATTTTCATTAATCGAGCTTCCAAAAATTAATTTTTGAAACGAGTCACTTTAAAAACATAATGAAGCCATAATTCCATGTATTTAAGTCTAATAAGGTTAGAAAATAATATTCGAGGCAATTGACCAAATAAATAATTAAATAAGCTCGAAATAAGAATTTAAATAAGAAAATTTTTGCGAGTCCTCACAGAAATAACCTCTAATGAGGAATTGAGAAGGAGTAAACGGCCAAGAAAAGAATTTTCCTATGGAAATGAGTTTCAAACCTTTCTTGTTGATAATGATCCTTTAACTTATTTTGATGTTATTTCTTCTTCTGATAGCAAATTTTGGAAAGAAGCAATTAAAACTAAAATTGACTCTATTATGAAAAATAAAACTTGGATTTTGGTAGATTTACCACCTGGTGCAAAATCTATTGGTTGCAAATGAATTTTTAAAAGAAAATATAATCCCAATAGCTCTATTGATAAATACAAAGCTCGTTTCGTATTAAGGGATTTTCTCAAAAATAAAATATTGATTATTTTGATACATTTGCACCGGTAACAAGAATTTCCTCTATTCGTGTGTTATTTGCTTTGGTTTCTATTCATAAACTTTTTGTTCATCAAATAGATGTCAAAATAGCCTTTTTAAATGGTGATTTAGAAGAAAAAATTTACATGATCCAACCTGAGGGATGTATTATTTCTGGACAAGAAAATAAGGTTTGTAAATTAACTAAATCTTTTTATGGCCTAAAACAAGCTCCTAAACAGTGGCATGAGAAATTTGATCAAGTATTGATCAAAGACGAATTTTCGTCTGTAAAAAGTGGATAAATGTGTATATGTTAAAATTGTAAATGATCAATATGTGATAATTAGTTTGTATGTGGATGACATGTTTATATTTGGTACTAGTCTAAATATTGTCAATAGTACTAAAGAATTTTTGTCTTCCAATTTTGATATGAAAGATATGGGTGAACTTAAAATGATATTGGGTGTTAAAATCATAAAGAGAGATGATGGTATAATGTTGTCATAAGAACATTATACAGAGAGATTTTAAGAAGTTTGAAAACTATGATGTGACACCCGTAAGCACTCCCTATGATGCTAACACTCAATTAAAGAAAAATAATGGCGACCCAGTCGCTCAGTCGAAATATGCTCAGATTATTGGGAGTCTGATGCATTTAATGAATTTTACAAGACTAGATTAGTCTATATTGTATGTAGACTGAGTAGATATATTCATAATTCCAATCGTGAGCATTGGCTTACATTGGTCAGACTAATAAAATATTTGAGAGGTACCATAAATTATGGTGTTTTATATAGTGGATTTCCCACTGTACTAGAAGGATACAGTGATGCTAATTGGATCTTTGATTCAAATGATACAAAATCCACTAGTGGTTATGTGTTCACCCTTGGTGTGGTGCAATAGCATGGAAGTCAGCCAGCCAGACAGTCATTGCTAGGTCAACTATGGAGTCAGAGTTTATAACTCTGGAGTTGACTGGTTTTGAGGCTGATTGGTTAAGGAATTTCTTAGCCAATATTCCTTCAAATAAGGGTTTGTTGCCTCCCGTGCCTATACATAGTGATTGTCAAACGGTTATTGCTATTGCTAAAAAGAAATCGTATCTTTGTAAAAGTCGACACATGAGATTGAGACATGATTTTGTAAAGCAGCTGCTTAGAGATGGAATTATTTTCATTTATTATGTGAAGTCAGAGTTGAATTTGGCCGATCCTCTGACTAAACCCGTAGGAAGAAAATTGATTCTTCAAACTTCAAAAGAAATGGGACTTCGACCAACAAGTTGCCAATAGAGATGGTAACCCAACCTATGTAATTGGTGATCCCATGAAATAGGTTCATATGGATAATAACAAGTCAATATTGATGGTAAAGCATTTCAAATTTAAGTCCCTCTGGAGATAAGTGTTTTGAGTAATTGTAAGGATGAGTTAAAACTCTTAATGAATTCATATCCTATTAGGGAGGTGTATTTAAAGCAATACGCACTTAATGAATTCACCAGAGTGGAGTGGGGCCGCTCATATAAGATTCATTGGTCAAATCTTTAGAGCTCTCATGAATAACAGCAGGCAGGCGCACCGCCTAAAAGCGCAAAACCGCGTTAACAAATTATAGGTTGCAATGTTATTGATAAAATCTCTGTCATACATCAAGAGTTATTGGTTCATAGAAATTTATATTTCATCAATAATTCTATAGGTCATGTTTTATCAATCTAAGTTTGGTTCATAGACCAAAAGACACTAAACGAATTACATTTCACCCAAATAAATCCAGCAGATTATTTTCTTATCTTTTGTCCAAAACCTTTTGAAATAGGAAGGAGATTGTTGTAAAATATAAGTGTATTTCAAAAGTTTTGTCCCACATCGAAAGATGAGAAGGATTGCTTTCTCTGTCCCATATCGGGAGGTGAGAAGAATTGCAATTTTTGTCCCACATTGGAAGTGAGAAAGGTTGCACCTCATTCTAAAATCTATAAATAGCATCCATTCCAGAAACTTGCCCTAGCAGCTTCAGTTATACCTTTCTGATAGTTGCTCTGACTCTCTCTCTCTCTCTCTTTTATTTCTGTCAGTTGATACCTTCCTGACAATTCTGTTCTCATCTTCTCTCTCTATATCTGCTGGTTTAATTTGCTAGTTCTGGTCCTTCTAGTTTGCAATAAGAAGAAAGTTTGTCTTTCTTGTTCGCAACAAATAGAAGAAGGCTTGTTTAATCCTAGGGAGACATTTCAATTTCATGAAATAGTTTCTTTGAACAGTGCTACGCACGACTCAAGCAATAGTGTTAACATTGTTGTGGCCGTTTTGACAACAAAATATGCTCCAGAACTTAATCCTTTATCCTTAGAGCCAAGTACATAACATATTATTTGGAGAACCTAAAATTGCCCAAAAAGAAACCAAGTGGTATTTTGTCAATCACTCAAAAGCAAGTAATCAAACAGCAATCCAGTATAACTCATGCAAACGAACATCATAGAGGATATTAAACTAGTAAATTGACTTAAAAACTCCCAAATCGAATTGTAGCAGCTTTATTTTCATTTTGCTAATGCTTAAGAAAAGGTGAAAAAGAGTTACTTAAATCCTGTTCAATTAGCAATTTGAAAGGTCAAGGTAGGTACGACTTTAAATACCATCTCAAGGATTTTGGTACTAACAAGGGACAAAGTATGATCTTCATTCTTGACCTTCATCTTACACCATCCTACCCATTCCTCACCCTTGGAAATTAGTTTCTGAAGCCTTGCAATGTTGGGTTGTCACTTTGATTCCACATGGTGCCTCTATCAGTCTATTTTTGCCAAAGCAGCAGCTCAGGCAATAATCTGTTGAGTCAATTGAAGCTAAGCACCATCCAAGAAAGAGAGAAACATAGTCTTCTTTATGTACCAAACGAATTCCTATGAATTTTGTAAATTGGAATGTAATCATTCATACAGTCTTAGAGCTAAATAGCTAAATTTTCCAATATGGTATCAGTTGGAAATTCGTGAATCAATTGTACGTCAATTCCTCAACTTAAAGATGCTCATTTTGACACTGTTCTAAAAGCATATATCTAATTAATACAGACACATTTTTGAACGAAGTAATACCAGATTAATATTCCACAATCTGCACTTGGGAAGTTTATTTTCAATTTCACTGTTTCTTTAACAGACTTAGGAGACTTCTTCTCATTGGACATAGACTTTTCATATTATGGAAAAAGTAGAACTCTAGGCGATAAACCTTTAAATCACATCTGGTTAAAAAGATTCCTGAAGAATTCTACCACCCTATTTTCTTCTTCTCTTTCTTTTGTCCTTTTCTAATCAGAAAGCAAAAGAGTCACTTCTATTTTGACGTTGAGGTGCTTGATTTCCACTTTTCATAGCCAAACACACAAAACATGCCAACCAAAATCTATAGTGATCATCAGTATTGCTCGACCAGAAAAAAAAAAACTTTCACCTTTGTGGGAACATCAAATGAGACGTCAGAGAAAGAGAGAGATAGAGAGAGAGCATGTCTAGAAACTTAACTTTTGACTTAACTAGATTTATAAAATTTCCTGCCAATCTGCATTAGATTTTTGTGCATATAAATGAAAATGCCAGTTTTAATACAATAATGTAAAATTACACATAAAAATGCACTTGCAATCTAAATACAAGTTGATTATGTAGACTAAATGCGTGCATAATAATGTATAAATAATTTCGTTCCGAGAAAAAGAGATTACCATTTCCAGCACACTTGTCACAAGGAACAGGATCCCCCTGCATATACAAAACCACAAAAATAATAGCTTTTTAGCAAAAGAAATAAAAACTGTATGCTTATAATTTCAAGCTGCACTAGATAATCCTAAAGCCTGAAGAATATTTAGCGTTAAAAAAAAAAAAAGAACGACCCTTGCCCAATAAGCATATGAAGCCCAATCAAGCAGAAACCACAAAAAGATAACAAATTTATTCAACAAAAAGGCAACCTTGAGGCCAAGAAATAGGGAGAGAGCAGTGGCAGCCAAGACACTAACAGTGGCAAGAAAGGATTGGGCGTCAACAGGGGGCGTATCAAGGGCAGTGAAGAGCAAAATTGGATGCTTTAGTGTTGTAGTTGTGGCAGTGGAGTGTTGTTGAATGAATTGGAGCTTGGAAGAACAAGAGGAAACTGAGAAAAGAATTGAGATTTCTGAGTTTGTAAGCAATTGAGTGTGAAGAGAAGAGCATACAGTTATGGGACATAAAAAAGATGATGAAGTTGAAGAAGATGATGAGGGAAAAGAGTGGAGCGAGGAGTGAGCCAGTGATTTGCCCATTGAGGGGATATAGGCATATGGAGTAAGATCAAATTTGTTTGTGGAACTCAGCTTTTCTTTGCCCTCTAAAATCAGCTGCTTCACTGCTTTTTTTCATATTTACCATTTTTGTATGTTGTTATTTCCTTTCCTGCATTTACGTTGATTCACTTTTTTTCTTTTTTTCTTTCCTTTTCCATTGTTGCCATTTGGTTGGTGTTTGAAGAGAATAATGCAAGCATTACATAGTGATAAACTCCCACTAAAGTCTATTCTAAATGCATGGTGAAAATTATTTGATCTACGTATTGAACAAGTAGTAGCTAGAAATTTTTTTCTACCTTTCAACCTATAAAAGTCTTTTCAGCTCAATAAGCATTCTATTAAAAGTTTGGCATAAATTATAAAAAGAGAGAACGTAAATAATTTAAAGCTAATTTTTAATAATTAAAGAAAGTAAGTTGTGGTGACTAGGCATGTTGGCGATTTAGAATAGTGAACTACTTATTTCTTTCAAGCAAAATGATATTTTATAAGATACCCAAGTTTATGAGCAGAAACAAAGTAAAAATTATTTATTTTTTATTATTAACTATTTTCACGTTTGCATATATTGCTTAAGTAAGTCAAAAAATAAAGTAAAAAATAACAAACTTCCTTGTTTTTAGCTGTTCTCACATTTGTGTATATCGTTTGGACCATAGGCACGTCATAATTTTCAATTATATAGGCATTTCATAATTTTTAATTACTTTTTAAATTATTTTTTTGTTTTGAAGTGACTATAGTTATTCTTAAGCAAGACCATTTTGGACTGCTATATCTAAAATGATCAAGGCAAGGATTTTTTACATTACCATATTTAGGAGTTATTGAAACCAACATAGTGCTGTGTTTCAACTCACACATGATAAACATCATACATGCTTTTTAGCCTATTTTTCTTTAATTTTTCGTATTTTTACACTTTAAGAAGGTACAATGCAGTTGTAAAGTTAAAAACAATTTGTAAAGAGAGTTAAAGAGAGAGAGAGTTAAAAAAAGGAGAAGAATATAATCCGTTTAATCGTATCATTTGGTGATACTAAAGTAAAAATTTAACTAAATAATGACAATAGAATTTTTTATTCTCATAATCCTTATGCTATAAATAATTGGCATGAAATTTGGTGCTTTTTGTGTGTGTGTGTTAGTGTGTGAAATTGTGTTTGTGTGCATCACGCGTGAGGAGGCGGTGTTAGAGAGAAAGCAAAACGATAAATATTCTGGTGTTAGTGGTTGCAATTTGGGATTTTAATTGATTGTTTCTTGAATACAATGTGCAATTTATTGTCATTGAATAAAGAAGACAACAAAAGGTGTCTATTAGTACATTTTTTCAACACCTTATAGTTTTATCTTTGAGCCAAAGTTTCATAAAGTAACACTAATTTAGCCCTGTCATGCACTTTGCTCAAGTACAAGTGCCTAGGAGGATGGGGAACAAAAGCAAAGAGTGATGCTTGGGATTTTTTATGGGGAGCTGTTTCTCATAATTGGAGCTATTGCTGCGCTAATTGGTACGCTATTGGCTATTCCTCCTTGTATAGATTTCGATCTTTGCATCTCTTTGGATGATTACCTACGTATAATTGATGTAGATTCTAAATGCGATGAAACAATGTAGTAAGTTGTATTGTTTGCTATCACGACAAAGTGTGTTGTGTTTTGCAGTTTTTCCGTTTTTGCTTGGGTGGCTCCAAGGATGATCCTTTGGAAATGATACTTTCTGTCTCTTGCTCTGGCATATGTGCACATGTAATAGAGTCAACGTTGAATTGAGGTTTATGTGTTGACGTTCATAGTTGTAGTTCAGGCCCAAAGGATTTGCCAATAATTGCAAGAACCACGGGGAGGTTAGCTGGAAGGGCAATTGGATATGTCCAAGTGGCTCGTGGCCAATTCGATAGTGTTATGCAGCAATCTCAGGCTCGTTAGGTCTCTCTCTCTCTCTCTCTCTACACACACACATGCCCATAGATATATGTCTCTGTATGTTTGTGTCTGTTTGTATAGAAAGCACATGTATGGCATGGTTGTTGACTGAGATTCACTAGCTAGACAATTGAAATGTAAAGTGCACTTTGTCTTTCAATGATGTTTGTAGATGAGCTGTACTAAGTTTGTGTTTTATAGGTGCATAAAGAATTACAAGACACTATTTCCCAACTGGAAGCCATTCGTTATGAGATTCGAACTATATCTTTCATGAATCCTGGTCCATTAACACGGAGCCTTGTGGAAAATGGTGTGCATACATCTCCTACCAATGGTATAAATCTGCTTACAACTCTTGTTCTTGAATAGCCAAAATCTTCTTTTTTCAGGTTTTCACCTCAACCCCCCTTCCCCGCAGTGGCGGAGATAGAAAAAAATTTTAGTGAGAGCAAAAATAACACTAAAATTTTTTATCTACTCTTTTTCTAATTTTTTAAGCAAAAAAATATATATAAATTCACCAACAAGTACAAATGATATGTATATTCCATGAAAAACATAAAAAGACAAACTCAAAATTATTAATGTAATAATAATTTTATTTCAAAAACAAACTAAACTATTTACAATTGTTCACGACGAGAGTTTTCATATTTTGACAATGGTTTACAACTTTCTCATTTTCAACTTCACGAAGTATATTTTTCTCATATATGTAACTAAACAATCATTCATCCAAGTGTCTCCCATTCTATTTCGTAACCGATTCTTCACTATATTCATAGCTGAAAAAGCCCTTTCTACTATAGTTGTAGCAACAGGCAAAATCAAAGCCAACTTTAAGAGCGTATAAGCCAATGGATACACAATATCTCTCTTAGTTTCCACCAACTTTGAGTTAGATCAGAGATTTTTCTTAAATCGAGAAATTCCTTAGCTGATTTCAAGTCATTAATATGAGTATCCAATTCAGTGTCAAGTGCAAGAATATCCAACTTAGAAAACTCACAAGGATAATGTTCAGCAAGATGAATCAACTTTTTCTTATCAAATGCTGCAAAGGAATCACTTGGGCTCAAGCTTGCCATACAAAGAAGCAACTCCATATTGATTTCATTGAAACGATTGTTGAGTTCTTGGAGTTGTAAATCTATCACAGCACAAAATAGTTCAACTCAATAGTGGTGAAGGTTTGTAATTTGCTGAACTTTTCTTCGAGATCTCCCACTAGTAATGAACATTTCATCCATTTTCGGAATGATAATCTCATGTTTTCACAAAACAAACAAACTTCATCAAGTAAAAAATCCCATCAATCTTCCCTAGTAGCTTGTAATTGTTGCTTGGAAACTTTGACCAGACCCATAGCATTCACAATATCTTGATCCTTCCTTTGTAATGCTTCAGATAGTGCATTCGTTATTCCATGATTTTCTTCATCAAGTGTAAAATAAATGCAAATTCAAAATATTGCAAAGAATTAATAAGTGCATATGCTTGACCTCTTTGCTCCACCAGACCATCATTTTCAATTATCAAAAGAACATCTATTACAGAATCATACATAAGAACCAACTTTAACAACGAGCCAAAATGAACCCCAACATGTGTATCACAAGCTCTTTGAAGGCTAGTTTCTTGATTTAAACCCCGACCACTCACAAGATCTCCAGTCATTAGATCATCAACGACTTTCTTAAGGCGTTGTTCTCTAAGAATTTCTTGTCTTTTAGATGAACCTTCAAGAACATGCACTAAGGTAGACAATGTATTATACATAGAAGAGACTTGGACATGTTTCTTTGCAACCCCTACAAATGACAATTGCAGCTGATGTGCAAACAATGAATATAATATGCAGAACCATTTTCCTTCATGATCAAAGTTTTTAAACCATTATATTCACCTCGCATGTTACTAGCACCATCATAACCTTGACCACAGATTTGTGATATGCTCAAACCATGTTTTGAAAATAAAACATCAATTGCTTTTTTAAGTGAAAGAGTAGTAGTATCTCTTACATGTAAAATGCCAAGAAAACGCTCAATCACATATCCATGTGAATCCACGTAACGAATAACAACTGCTAATTGCTCCTTTGTTGATGCATCACGAGATTCATCACATAAAATAGCAAACAATCCATGTCCAATGTCATTTACAATAATGCTTGTAGTCTCACTTGCCAAAGCATTTGAAATATCCTTTTGAATATCTGGAGCAATGAGTTTGAGATTTTAGGGGCATTTTCAAGAACAACCTTTTTTATATCATCATTATGATCCGCAAAGAAGTGCAAAAGTTCAAGAAAATTTCTCTGATTTTTAGAGATATTAGATTCATCATGACCGACGAAAAGCCAAATCTTGGAGTAGGAGAAATCTAGCACAATCTATTGAGGCTAATAAACGAGTCCGATACTCAGCCTTCATTTTCTCTGATTGCTTAAAAAATGCCACTTCGATGTGCTGATTTTGATTTAATAAACTTTGGCATTTACTTCAACTCAGATTGTGTGCGCTATTAGGACCACCAACATGAACATCAAATCTATCCCTTTTTTTTTCAATTTGTGAATCTTTCCTTAATGAAACTATCACCACCAGATTGTTCCCCATATCTGGTCTATATAGATAACAGCTTAAGCAATAAGCGGCATCTTTTTCAATACTATATTCTAACCAATTCTTGTAATCATCAAACCAACCCCGAACAAATCGACGCATCTTTTTTCCTATCTTTCTTTGTGGAAAAACATGCTCATGAGGTTGACATGGTCCCTTTGCCAAGTAATATCTCCGAATTTCATCTTGAAGGCTTGGATGATAATCCCCAATTTTTTTTCTTTAGGCTGGATTCGCAGGTAATTCATCTAAGTTAATCCCCAAGTAACTTCTTTTATTGTCATTTTTTGCACTTTCATTATCCTTGACTTCTTCTTTATTAGATGACTCTTTTTCCATTGATTTCCTCTTGAAATATCTCTCCATAGCTAAAGAAATTAAAATCAATATATAAGATACTAATCCAATTAAAATATTAAATGTACAATAAAATCTATCCAAGAACTATTTTACAAGTTAAAGTTATTTATTAAATGACTTATTTATTCATTATTATATCAAATCATTAATCACAACATATGAACCTAATCAAGTTAATTAGACAAAAGGATCCATACAAGAATAATTTAAAAGTTAAAATATATGTCAAATGGCCCTTTATTCATCATTACATTAACTCCAATATAAGAAACTAATCAAGGAAAATAAAAATAAATTTTAAATCCATAAATCACCATTTCACAAGTTAAAATATTTATCAAATAACCCATTTATTAGTTATTACATTAACTAATCAATTTTTAAATTTCTTTGAAACAGTAATAGTCTCATGCTCTAGAAATATATTTGCAAACAAATTTAAAATAATAATAATAAGAAGTAATTGTTTAGAACCTGATTTTGATGGTCTCCTAAAGTTGGTGAAAAGAGCTGCAAAATGTAGCAGACCCAGGTCCCAGAAGATCAATTGATTCTGGTGCAATCTCTAAATCGGATGAAAGTGATCAAGAGAAAGAGTAACAAGCTTTGGTTGTGGAAGAAAAAATGGCTCTCGTATGTTGGGGAGTGGGGACAACCGAGAGCCAGATGAGGTAAGGAAAATTGGGGAGTGGGGACAAAGGCAGTAAATGATAATTGGATGAAGTGATAAAAAGAAAGAGTAGTTGGCTTGGGTATGGAAGAAGAGGAGCCGGTTGTGAAGGGAAATGGGGGACCACAGGAGTAAAGGGAACTTGGGGAGTGGGGACCAAAAGGAATGACTGATATAATTGGTACTTGGCCTTGTTGGGGGGAAAATGGGGACCAGAGGAGGAAAGTGAATGATATAAATTTTGTGTTCTTTCACATTTTTTCTAAAAAAAATTATGGGAGCATCTTTAAAATTATGTCAAAATTATAGAAGTATTATAGGAATTTAAGGGCCTCCACTGCCCCTCTTAAATCTGCCCCCGCTTTCCCGTAACATTTTTTTTGGTTGGCTTAGATGAAACTGGGCTGCAATAAGCAGATAAAGAGAGCATTTTAGCAATCCCCGCTGCTAAGGTTCATCATGTTGCTTAAAATCTATTTCCTATAACATTACACTATTAGCAGTGAGTTTTATCAGCAGCGGGTAAACTTTATCTTTTCCAGGATTATGCTTCACGAGCCTCAGCCTCATCTGACATGCACAGCCAAGCTACATCTTATGCAAAGTTGGCTGAATCTAAGTCATTGAACCCTGCTTCTGTGAATAATGAAGTTCTTAATGAGCTAACAGATAAATCTGGTCTTACCATCCTACCTGTATCAGCTGAAAGTGCAAGATTGTTACCAAATCGAAAAGGTGTGAGGTGTGTTCCAGTTTTGGTTTTCCTGATTTCTGTCTTTCTTCTTACTGGTCTTTAATTGTGCTTCTATTTATCATCTAGCTTTTCAGTCTCCTTTTTGCATTTTGGGTGATTTAGAGGGTATTTTCTAATACTGACCAATTATCTGGAATAGGCAGTTAAATATCTTTATGTTTGAGGATGCTCTAAAAGGTAATTTAGATTTGTATAGCCTTATTTGTTGGTGGCACTAGATTAAACTTTTATGTCCTTGGTGAAGTTAATACATGAACAAGTATTACTAGTTTGTATCAGGTGTTGCCTGAATGATCTAGTAGAAGCTGAGGAGATAGCTTAGCTACTGTATGGGCATTGCATTCTATGAAATTTGCTTTTTTTTTTTTTAGCATGTCATTTTAGAATATGTTGCTTCATTTCATCTTGGAAATCAAGACTCTTCCTGAACATTAGGCAAGGATTAATATGGTTAGGAGGAAGATGTAGGCCCACCAGAGATGGAAGCATCTGCCTTGCTAGTTAGGACAGTTTGGAGGCAGTTGGCAAGGCGACGTCACCATTACAATAAATTGTTAGTTTCTTTGGTAGAGACTGGGAGCTAGAGCAATAAATCAGCTAGAATAAATGCACTCTCCAATCTTGCAGGCTGTTGGAGACTGCCTGGTGTAATGCACGATTGGTCTCTTTTACTTTCTTCCACAACATTAGGCCACCATCTACTGCATCTGTTGATTATAAAGTTTGGAATATTATAATTTGTTTCTCTTACATGTTGAAAGTAAATGTTGGGCCATTGAAAGTGCTCGTGATATAGCCTTGCTGATATATGAACCTGATAGTTTTAGGTTATTGATGAATTTGCTATGACTAATTATGCCACAAAACACTTATTATTGATAGTGATGTCAGATACGGTGATGGGATCTGACATAGTTTTGGAAGCAGTCTTGGAGGCAGAGGTGGCTCATAATACAAAAGACTTCTTTTCACAACCTCAAAATCTAGAAAAACTTGAATGAGAAGGTATTATGCTCTTTTCCTGATTAAATAGTTTGCATGTTTCAATTTTTGCAAACTATAGGATGTGCCATTGGAGTATTATCAGTTAAAGAAGAATTACAAATGTTCTGACAAATAGAGAGAATAGACTGTTATTATTAAGATCATTGTTTTTATTGCTATTGTTTTTTGGTAGTTATTAATAGAAAGTTGTGACCTGTTGTTTCTTTTTAGTGTCTTTTCTGTAGTTTTTTTTACCCATGTCCTTTTTTTCATTGAACTTGGAAAGAAGGTATCTTCGATCCGTAATGTGGCTGGTTCTGACTTTGACTCCGGGCTGTTTGACAGGCTTGGCATATCCCAGATTTGAACAAGTTGTTGTACAACAATCCAGCCAGCAAACTAGCTAAGAGGATTAAACTCGGTATTAGTTGCAATTAACCACACCAACTTTATGCTCCGTCAAAACACAGCTGCCTGCGGTAAAATGGGATTTAAGAATCTCTATTGTGCTGTTCTACCTTCACTTCTTGCAAATGCATGCAACATCATTTCAAAAGGGGGTGGATGATGATTTAACCCTGATTTAAGAATCTCTGGTCCGTTTACTGTACTGCCACCTTACTATTAGATTGTGAATATCAGTGATGCCTTATGCAGATCTGACTTGGTGAATGTTGAGAGGTAGACAAGAAAAAGATCACCATACCGATAGAGGTAGACACAGATATGAGAATAGTGGAAGAGGGATCATCGGATTCGGCACAAAGCATGATGATGGAGAAGTGTGTAAGATGCATCGATTTAAGTTTAGGTAAGTTGCAGTGGCTGGTGGGCGAAGTTCATTTCTGCAAGGATTATGATGGCTTGAATAAGCTGAGGGTGGAGTTAGGACTTGTAAGAACGTTTCTTCTGTGTGGACAGTATTCTTATTCGGGCCTTGAAGACTCTATTGATCAAGATGGGCAGCGTTTTTGTTTTTGCTCTCTTCTACTTGAGGATCGATTGCCCCTGCTCGAGAGGTCTCTTGTTTTCGAGAAGTTGTGCCCAAATTTAGGCAAGTTATCAGAAGTAAATACATGCAGATGTTGAATGCCATGATGTACAATTTGCAACCTGACAGCAAATTGGACTGGGGGATGCCTCGATGGTATTCTTATGTGCTGGGTCGCATAGTGGATCAGGATTGTTCTTGTAGTTCTGAATTCCTGTATTTCTTCTCCTCCTTGCTAACGAATCTCGATGATATTCTCTTCAGGGGCGAAGCCTGTAATCGAAGATTTGCCATACTCTTGGAGCCCCTTCACGAGAAGCTACTGCTCTTGAATAGTGTCTTACAAGGAGAAATACCGAACAATATCAATATAAGTAGCACTGTGGAGTTGTGGCTGCATATACAGCTTATCTCTACTTCATTTGTTGGTTTTTCAGAGATGATAATGAAGTGTCTGATCGGATTAAATCAAACATTTCCATATCATTAGAGAAGATTACTGCTTTTGCTGACCAAGCCCGTTTGGCTTATTCTGGTGTCTGGGTATCTGGATCGTTATCAAAATACATTGATTTAATCCTAGATTGCTACAAAGATGATTGTGGTTTGAATGATCTGAAGATAGAGCTAAGACTAGCTAAAACATTTATTCTGTATCAAATTGGATTTCAGTGTGATGGGGCTAGATATTTTGCACTGATTATTGATGAAAAGGCGAAGCAGTTTTACTCTCTTCTTCATCGATTAGATGATTGATTAGCCCGAGCAGCATTTGGTTTTCAACAAGTTTTGAGGCAAGCAATCCGTAAATGGTATGGCAAACTGTCAGATATATATTTGTCTTATCTAGAACTGGATTTCCATTTGGATTTGTATTCTTCTTTGGCCCATTCTTTTTTTGGAAGATAATTTCATAAAATTCTTCCAATCTTTGCTAGGGAATCTTGCAGATATTGTCGTCTAGGGTGAATCGTGTGATTCAAGACTTGAAAAACTGTTAACACCCTTCAAGAGAAGCTAATATTCTTTAAGAATCTCATTCTCTTTGTCAGCTTGCATGGCAAAGGCCAGCTAAAACTTATGATGTACTGTAACATTCTGGTATCATCTGCAGTAGGTCTCTATTATAAATGTTGGTTCTTCAGAGAAGATAATAAAGTCCTTGATGAAACGAGCTCACAGATATCTAAATTAATCGAGAAGCTCGAGTCTATTGTTTACCAAGTCCGCAACATCTTGGAATATGGATCTTCATCGCTTCTTGTGTCTACTAAGATGCATATGATTGTAGCAGGGGAATTTGTAGATTCTTTCCTAAGTAATCTTTGGGAGTTACTACAACATTGTCCTACTAGGCTCTTGGAATCTCTGCAGTATCAAATGTGAATACTCTATGATAGACTGCAATGTACTATTTGATTAAATTGACTGTTCAAATATTGAGGATGGATATATTTCAAATTTTTCCAGATGTTTACACTTGCATCTCAAGCATGTGTGGAACTTATATGATGGAATATAAATTTACCTTATTGAGTTATATGTAAAAGACATGTTTCATCTGGAAAATGGGAATACAGAATCTAATACAATCTTGTTTTTGTACC